GAGCAGGGAGCCCGATGCGGGACTCGATCCCGGGACTCCAGGATCATGACCTGAGCCGAAGGCAGTCGCTTAACCAACTGAGCCACCCAGGCGCCCAACTTTATCTTTTTATATACTATCTTTTTTGTTCTAGTCTGTCGGGAATGGTCCCTAGTGAAGAGTCGAGTCACGAGAGCATATAAGGTAGCCCCAGACATAATCAGCTGTTAGTTGTCCATGAATAAAATCCCTGTGCTGAGAATTAGTCTTAGCTGCTGCTACTATCCCATCCAGCTAAATCTTGTGCAGTTGATAGTGCTGTGCCATGAATTTATCAGAGATAGGTGGGAGGGAAAGCAAACATTGAACATATTTGTATCTTTCACCTCCAAAACCAAGTGAATATTAACTTATTTTTGAATTATTTGAAACCAACTAAAACAACTTTCTGTATGGTAGGTATTTAGTAACAATAGCATAATCCTGTGCTGCTGTATTATTATTATTTTTTAAAAAGATTTTATTTATTTATTTGACAGAGACAGAGAGAGCAGGAACACAAGCAGAGGGAGAGGGAGAGTAGGCTTCCCACCGAGGAGGGAGCCCGATGTGGGACTCGATCCCAGGACCCCGGGATTATGACCTGAGCCGAAGGCAGACGCTTAATGACTGAGCCACCCAGGCACCCTGTGCTGCTGTATTATTAAGCTGTGTACACACACTGTCTATTTACGGTCATTGTTTCTGTGTGGACTTAGCTTCAGAAAACTATGTCACCTCAGTTTGCTGTCAACTTTTAGGCTCTTTGTGCTTTTTCTGTCTATTCAGGCTATTAGCTTCATCATAAAGGACTTACCCTCCCCCCAGCAAAGGACTACTTTCCCTAGAAAAGGATTTTTGGTATGCTGTATCTTCAGATCAGGTTTTCTTATATTGCTGAATCATTCATGAAACAATATTGAGCACATACTACAATGTTGAGCAGCTAACTACATGACAGTTACTGAGGATACAGAGATGAAGAAGGCATAGAGATTCCTTGTTCTCCAGGAACCTGCCATCTAGTTGGGTTGATGGGTATATAAATAGATCATTATAAGAGAATGTACAAACTCAGTGAGCATAATGATAAAGATGTGCATGAAATATTCTGGAAGCATAAAGAAAGGACTTCTAATCCAGTGTCTAGTACAGCAGTCATTAGCTACATTTGGCTTTTTAAATTAATCAAAGTTAGGGTGCTTGGGTGGCTCAGTTGGTTAAGTGACTGCATTCGGCTCAGGTCATGATCCTGGAGTCCCGGGATCGAGTCCCGCATTGGGCTCTCTGCTCGGTGGGGAGTCTGCTTCTCCCTCTCACCCTACCCCCTCTCATGCTCTTTCTCTTCATTCTCTCTCTCTCAAATAAATAAAAATCTTTAAAAATAAATAAATTAATTAAAGTTAAATGAAGTTAAAATTTTAGTTCCTCAATCACACTGGCCACATTTTATTTGCTCAGGAGCCACATGTAATTAGTGACTACTTTATTGACAGCACAGATACAGAATATCTTCGTAATTATAGAAAGCTCTATAGAACATTATTGAAAAGGAGGCAACAGAGAGCTGAGGCTTAAAAGTTGAGTACTAGCTAGCCAGGAAGGGGTTGGATAGGGACAGAATAAAACATTCTAGGTAGAAATCCCAGTTGGTCGAGACTGAGGAGTTTCTTGGGATGTGTGGTTTTTAGAGCTAAAACTGGAACAATCCTGAGGAAGCTGGGACAGTTGGTCACCCAAGTAGAAAGGACTTCATGAACAAAGACACTGGATCTAGAGAAAAGCTTCACATAGAGAGCAGCTTACATTTGTTTGGTGTTGCAGGAACATAACAGTTCATATAAGGGATTGGAAATGAGCCTGCAAGGACAGACATCAGACTTGCAGGTGATACTGGAACATGACCTTGTAGGGATGAAAGGCCATGCCAGAATTTTAAGCCGGGGAGTATCATAATTTTGGTCACTTTTACATTTTAGGTAGATCTGACAGGCAGCTATGTGGGAGATGAATTTGAGGGAGCAAGTTTGAAGGCAGTGAGATGCTAGGAGACTTGAAGTAATACAGGGTTAGAAATCCTAAGGACATGGTAGTGAGGAGGGGAGGGTTTCATAAATATTTATGAGGTATGTGGGGTGCCTGAGGGGCTCAGTCGGTTAAGTGACTCTTGGTTTTGGCTCAGGGTATGATCTCTGAGTCCCAGGATTGAGCCCCACCTCAGGCTCCCTGCTCAGCAGGGAGTCTGCTTGAGATTCCCTCTCCCTCTCCTCCTCCCCCTGTCCGCCCCCCCCCAGAGCGTGCATGCTCTCTCTCTCTCTCAAATACATCTTTTTTTTTTTTTTTAA